ATCCCCAGCCAGCACGGGGCTGGCAGGGCAGCCCAGGTCCTCCCATACCTCAGCCATGTTACTGATGACAATCGCCATGATGATCCCATAGATGGCCACAGCCTCGCAGAAAATAATGCTGTGGGAGAAAGGCAAAGTCTGACCACTGTCCCCCAAGGTCTGCCCAGGAGCCAGCCCCGCCCTCCACCAGCCCCCTTCTGCTCCTCTGGGGAGGGGCTATGCACGGTCCGACCAGGTGTACCCTGGCCTGAGGCAGGAAGTGTGATCTCTGGGTGTTTGTTTTGAACACACTGTGCTCATTCACTGCATATCACACCAAGACTCTTCAAATCAGGTCTCTGGCTGCTTTAGGGCTCTTTGTTTTGAAAGCAAACAGCCATCAGCAGCTCAGGAAGGAAAGGCTGGCCAGCAGCACCCATCTAGAGAAAGGGCAGGAGCCTCTGCACCGGGCTGGAACCTGCCCTGCTCAGATGTGGCATGAGCACTAACTCCAGGTCTGTGCTTACCTCACCAGGTTCTTGGTTTTGATCCGAGGGGCTTTGACTCCACCGCCGATGATGCTGGAGCCTGTGATGTAAATCCCCCTGTGGCAGACAAGGGTGGTTGATGGAGGGTCTGGCATTTGCTGAAGGATTCAATTGAGAGATCAGAATCTTCCAGCTGAGCAAAGAATTGGGCATGCAACTGGGTGACACTGCAGACTTGGCTTGTCCACCCCCAGGGTACAAGTGGTCCCAAGCTCCACCACCTACACCAGCAGAACTGCTGGGGCACAAAAGCCACCACTGTATGGCCTGGGCTCAGGGGTACACCATCCAGAGAGCCAGGGTCACGCCTGCCTCTCCACTGCCATTGCAGCCTGCAAGGTGATCTGATCATACCCCCAAGTAGCCAGCAACCTGGTCCCACCATTGCAGTGATCAGCCAGCCATACATCTCTGCATGTACACACCAGTCTGTCTCTGTCTTGGGACACCACAGGTACCACAGTGGGATAGCAGATGCCTGCTGAAAAGCCAGCCCCACTCACCAGGCAGCTCCCACCACCGACAGGGAGATGGCCAGGCCAATGCCCAGGTTGGACCACATGAAAGGGGAGGTCTCCGTCAGGAACCTGAAGAGAAAGAAGTGCCCTGAGTTAGTACACCTGCTGAGCTCCCCTATAATGGTGCACCCCCTACCCCATCATGAACCCCAAGATGGGTTGGGCACTGCCAGACAGAACAGACAACAGCCTCTCTGTGCTCTCAGGATCCTCACCCACATGGACTGAGATCTTCCTCCAAACCCTCACTGTGAAGGGGAAGCCTGGGCTGGGAGAAAGGGTTGGATGGGAGAGAGATGGGAAGGGCAGCAACAGCTGCTCCAGGACCCCATGTAGAGCTGGGTACACATGGGCTGCATCTATCCTACCTCAGGGGGAGCAGAGGCCCTGCTCACTGTAGGTCTTGTTCCCCAGCAATGCAGCAACCACTGACTGTTGCTCAAAAGCAAGCCCTGTTCCCTGCAGGCTCTGCCAACACTGCCTACCTCCTTGCACAGCCCTGAGGATGCCAGTATTTGCAGGGAACTCACCAGGCCACATCGAAGCGGAAGCCCAGGTCAAATATTGTGTAGCAGATCCCTGGAAAACAAGTGACACAGGAACCTTCAGACAGGCACCAGCTACCAGCTCAGCGCTGCCGCAGGAGGGTAACTGGAAAGACTGGCTTACACATGCAGAAATGTGGGGCTGAATGAAGCCCCAAAGTCCAGTTCTGGTGACCCCAGTTCCCCCACAGAAGCACAGGAGAGAGACAGCCCAGACCCAAAACACTGCCAGCCCCCATCTCTGGCCTCTAACCGGCATGCACAAGAGTAAAAAGCAGATACAACAGCCTCTCTGTGCTCTCAGGATCCTCACCCACATGGACTGAGATCTTCCTCCAAACCCTCACTGTGAAGGGGAAGCCTGGGCTGGGAGAAAGGGTTGGATGGGAGAGAGATGGGAAGGGCAGCAACAGCTGCTCCAGGACCCCATGTAGAGCTGGGTACACATGGGCTGCATCTATCCTACCTCAGGGGGAGCAGAGGCCCTGCTCACTGTAGGTCTTGTTCCCCAGCAATGCAGCAACCACTGACTGTTGCTCAAAAGCAAGCCCTGTTCCCTGCAGGCTCTGCCAACACTGCCTACCTCCTTGCACAGCCCTGAGGATGCCAGTATTTGCAGGGAACTCACCAGGCCACATCGAAGCGGAAGCCCAGGTCAAATATTGTGTAGCAGATCCCTGGAAAACAAGTGACACAGGAACCTTCAGACAGGCACCAGCTACCAGCTCAGCGCTGCCGCAGGAGGGTAACTGGAAAGACTGGCTTACACATGCAGAAATGTGGGGCTGAATGAAGCCCCAAAGTCCAGTTCTGGTGACCCCAGTTCCCCCACAGAAGCACAGGAGAGAGACAGCCCAGACCCAAAACACTGCCAGCCCCCATCCCAGTCTTGGCCCAGAAGAAGACTGCTGTGGTTGTCACACCCATTTTCTGTTCCTGAGCCTACAACTGTCTATCCACACTGCCAATGGCTCAGCCCCACTGGAGAGCTACTGCACCAAGTGACCAGCCATGAGCTCTTCTCTCTCACAGTGAGGTAAGAGGTGTGAGTCTGTCCCCTGACTGACCATCAAGTGCTGCTCCACCAACATCCCATCATGGTCCAGGCTGGAGGACACCATCAACACCACAGGTTGCTGCTGCTCCCCAGCACCCCCCTTGCAAGGCTGTGGATGTTCAAGACATGCCTGCTGTCCTCAGCATGGGTTACTTATGCCCAGATAAATTTGTTCTCCAACACAGGCAGCAGACAACAAAGCACAGTCCTGAGAAATGCAGAAAAGCCCTTCCTTTCCAGGCAGGGATTTCAAGGGCAGCTTGCCCTGCTGTTTGCCCCCAAGTGCTCCTCTCCCGTGCTGAAACGCAGCCGTGAGTCGCACCCAGCAGCCTGAGCACACACAGAGGTGCTCATCCTGAACCCCTGCCTTGCCCTGAGCTGGTGAGCAGGAGGCTTGGCTGCAGACAAGAGACACTGGCTCTGTGCATGACTTGCAGCATGCAGCACAGCACTGTCTGCTCCACACCAGATAAGAAGGGTGAAGGGACAACTCTTCACCACTGCTGACTAGAGCCAGCAGCTGTGTGACACTGACCCTGCACACAGCTGGAAAAAGAGGAAATGGGAAACTTCTGAAACACTTAGAAGCAGCAAAGAGGCCACTGCACATGTTTCACTGCTCCCTTCCCCCTAGGGCCACCGCCTAGAGGTCAGGGTGATGGCACACCAGTGGTGCCCAGTAGAAATATGGAGGCAAACCCACTTGCCCCATGTTGGAGAAGCTCTTCCCTGCCCATAGCCAAGACCTGAGGACAATGCATCCCATGGAAGAGCCTTGGGAGTGTAGGAAGACCTGTCAGCCTCACAGTAGGGACATTCCCATCTCCCTGTGTGCTGAGCCCCTCCACACACAGGGCTCAGCACCCTGCACAGTGGGAGGACACACAAGCACTGCCAGGTGAACAAGCCCCAAACCGGGAAGCAGCAACACAGAATCATGGTGTCTCTCTCCCCTGCAGCAACACACACAAACAGGGAACAGTGTCACCACAGCCAGGGAGCACAAAGGGAGGCTGCATCCCAGTCCACTTGCTTGGTGACCTTCAGGGATGATCTCTAGGGTGCTAGGTCTGGCCAGTCTGGAACTTGTTTTAGCTTTGCTGCTTGGCTTGCAGAGCAGGAACCAAACCCAGCCAGCCTCAGCTGCCTCTGCTCCCCATGAGCAGTAAAAGAAGAGCTACATCCAGCTCAGAGCAGATCCCTGGGGCACCTTTTATCTCTCCAAGAGCAGATGTAGCCTTAGACTCATACAAAAGGAACAAGGTGAAGGACGCTTTCTGTGAAGACCTCTGGCTCCCAGCCCTGCAGGCAAAAAGGCAGAAAAGAGCCAGAGAAGCAGGACTGGAGCACCAGAGCCAGGCCAAGGACAAGGAGGGAAAGCACCAAGAGGCACCACAACACTGTGCAGAGCTAGACCGCTTCCTGCTCGCTCTTTC